ACTATCATAAAGCCAGTCATTGTCTTAATTGTCATCAAGCCCATCATCTGAATTGTCATCAAATCTATCTTCCTCGGCAAGGAACAAATCCTCATTTCCCTCATTAGATGTAGATTTATCTTCAAACATCGCAGTGTCACCCTTCAACATTGCAGTGTTGTCCTCAAGTCTGATATTCTCATTTGAAAATACCATTACACCCTCTACAGTTTCACCAGATCGTTGCATTGGTTGGCTAGAAGCAAGTAATTGGTTTGATGCACATCCTAATCGGAATTGTGCAGCCAACTATTCTGTGAATGTCGTCTCTCTACCAGGCTGCACAAACTCTTCTGTATATGTCAATTGCCATTGTTGTGGGTTATGGATCGAATGCTGTAGTATGTGTGAAGTATTGTAAATCTCATTTTGATTGAGCTGATTACCATGTTGTTCAGCTTCTTTATGTGACATAACATTTCTTTGGCATCCCTTAATGCTGACATACACAGTCGAAACATTCCTCTATTCTAGTATAATTAATGTAACATCCTCATCATCCTTGATAATTAGGCGTGATAGTTCTCGGGGTGTACTGATCAATGCATGTAACTCAATCTCGTCCATTTCTGAGTTTACCTCAACAACTTCTTCAACCAGCTTTTTCAAGCTCTCAAATGACAAATCACTCCTAACCCCCTGCATTCGTGAGTCACCACCCTTGTAAATGCCATCTACCCACTAACCACCATGTCTTATCACAAACCGCACAATTGGAACCCCATCACAATTTTGAAAATATCAAATTTGTCAATCATTTTACACATTACATGTCATGTTGTTACACGCCAGTTTTCAACTATGTTACATGCCATGCTCAAAAATGTTACACGCCATCTCCTTTATGGATGCATGGCGTGTAACAAATCTGTCAGTGTTTGAAATTCATGTTTTAATTTACACAAGTTTCAAAAATTTATCTCTTGTAGCAATAAACCCAATAACATACCTTGATGTAATCTCTGCTATAAGTTCTGTTTATAGACGACAATATGGCCAAATGCTGAGAGATAGACCATAGCACGATGATGATGGTGCTCAACAGAGAGTTGACAGAGCTTATACAGTTGAGAGAGTTGAGCGACCTGATGACAATGGTGCTTAACAGAGAGTTAACAGAGTTGATATAGTTTAGAGAGCTGAGAGAGAAAGATGAGCAGCCTCAAACAGTTGAGCATTTATTTTTATTTTCTTTTTGACAGGAGGGGGATATTGAGAACTTTTTCTCACAATGTTTTAAAGGTATTTTGGTCTACTTATGCTTCTCAATGGCTAAAAATAGATAAGTTTATGTGGGGCGTTATTTTTTAAATCACTTTATACGGAGGACCTTTTCTCACAATTTCCTCATAAAATATACATTAACTTAGTTATTATATACAAGAGACATACAAAAACATTCCCAAATGTTAGTATAATTGTAATGTACATATATATTACTAGTGCAATTCATATTATTAGGGTAAAATATACATGTGATGCTGTCAGTATTTCTTATTTTGTGTCTAAATACAAGATAAACTATCAAATCCATTACATGTGAGTGAAAAAAATTGCATCTATTACACATAGCCTTCACTTTCTGTTCTCATTGCCTTAAACTTTCATTTTCTTCATGTCATTACACTTATCCGTATTTAAGCCCTTTATGGGCATTTTACAAATGTTGCTAACAACTGATGAGCGTGGCTTGACGCAATCAATGTTTTAAGGCAGAAGCTACTTTAAAGCATGCTTTCACAAGATCAAATGTCCATATCGTGCGTTGTGGTCCATCCACTGGAGGTGCCATTTTACATCATCAAGTATCCCAAAACTTTTCATATTTCGTTTCCAAACTGTAATCAAAATTAAATCAGAAGGTTATAAATGTATACAAAATCCTTGAAAAGCTTAGATGAAAATAATTAAGTTAAATACATCTGAAAATCTTTTTAAAAGAGTGAAAATCTTTGAAATAGGTTGTAAATATTGATATCTCATTTAAGAGTATAGATACTTATCAAACAGAATGCTTCCTAAGACATTTAGAATTTTAGGTATCAATACTTATGCCATAAGTATCTATACTTGTAATACAGAATACTTTCTAACTTCAAGGTATCGTTATTTTTTCTTGAAAGTATCAATACTTATCAATCCAACATGTCTTTCTGGACAATTTGATTAACAAGTAATGATATCTCATTCAACGGTATTGATATCTCTTTAAATTTTTAAATTTCAACTTTAAATTAATCTTTCAGATCCCAAATAGAGTATATAACTATTTCATATCCAAAATATAGCAGAAAAGATATTAAAATAAAGGTTACCTTAAACCAATAATCTGAATAGTTATAATCAACTTTCATCTTCAAAGCAAAGTCATAAAATCATCCTTTCAAGTCTTAAACATCACTTAACAAAACTTAGACATTTATGGAGTGCTAGCTTAAGAAGAACTAACAGAAACAGAGGATAGAGTATTGTCCCCACTATCTGGACATACAAGGGCTGTCGTAATATCAAGATAGTCCGATGCATATAGCCATCGGCTTTATAACTAAACAAAGGATAGGTATCATCCCCACTAGACATAATAGAGGGTGTCATCACAGTAATAAGGTATAGTGCATATAGCCACTGACCTGAAGCAGAACAAATCATTATGCATAATGGTTAGCATTTGTTGTTGCTAACTACAAGTCTTTGACTTAATAGGCTCCACTAAAAACTTACTAAAACATATTTCGGTTAAGCTTATTAGAATTGAAAATTCATTGGGTGAAATCATTCACCTATACAAATGGATAAGTTGAGGCATGAAATCATTCGATGTCATCAACTCAAACTAATTTACCAAAAACAAAGTATCCTTATACTAGGGTTGTTTCAAAATATTATTCAACATAAATTTTGAAATCTGAACATACTTAAAATTCACAGACAAACTTCAGATTTTTGAGATATAAAATATTCAAGATGCTTGTTTCCCATGCACAAAACTAAATACATAATAAACATATTTACATAACATATACGTATATTTTATCAAGCATATTTAAACACCAAAAACATCATCAAATCTTTTTTCCATAATCCACACTTCATTGAAATTAGAATTTAATGCAAATTTATAGACAAGGCATTAATTATATCAAAATAATTAAAAACACCATATCTAGTCACTTAATTTAAGAGTGTCATTTTCTTAGTGCTTTCAACATTGAAACTCGATCAATCCAAGTTACTAAATCCTTCAACATGCTTACCAATGTATAGTCAACACCAACATCTTGTCTTATTTCCATGAATTTCGTAATAACCTATTTATTCCTTCAAGAATTTCTTTAATTGCTCTATAACCTAAAATCAATGTCTCAATCCTAGTCTAACTTTGAATTATAGTACAACTAACTAGAGTTCTTTGTAATCTTACTTTGGTGAGCTTGAGAGAATCAAAACTACCTAAAACCTATAGTTTTAGAGAGAGGAACGGATTTTCAAAAATTTATTGAATTTGGAAATTAAAACCTGCAATTAGATGTTTAAGGTGTTAAAATCTTACCTTTAAGATGATTAAAAACAAAAATCTGAACTCCAGAGCTTGTTTGGTGAGAAAATGAGTTAGAAAGATGAGAGAAAGAGAGGAAAGAGAAAACAGAGGTTTAGACAGTAAAAGATGTTTAGGGGGTTTTGGAGGGTTTATGGTATTAAAATAGTTATGAAAAAACTGTTTTACCTTTATTTTTTTTTGAAATTCGAGGCATAGGTATCGATACCTTGGATATAGGTATCAATGCTTTTCCTTTTCTGGCCAAATGCATCGATACTTGTTCATCAAGAGTCCATTCTAAGGTACTAAAATATTTGTGAAAAGATCATTTTACTTTTATTTTTTTGAAATCTGAGACATAAGTATCGATACCTTGGGTACAAGTATCAATACTTTTCCCTTTTTGGACAAATGTATCAATACTCAAAAAATATGTATCGATACTTGTTCATCAGGAGTTCTTTTTAGGTTTCAAGTATCAATACCTGTAGACACCATAAATAAAATAAATAATAAATAAATAAAACCAAAAAAACAAGCAAAACAAAAAAAAAGAGAAAAAGAGGCTGGAAGCACGTTTGGCTTCCATTTTCAACAAAAGGCAGAGCATTGAATGCTCCTCAGGTAGCTGAGATTTGAGATCATTTTCGGTGGATTATTTTTGACTTGAAGGCCACCCATTCGAAATTCATGCTGAAAAAGGCATGAATCCTTTTTCTGATTGATCAAAAATTTGGACAATCGGGTTCTATAAGAACCCAAAAGTTCCAGTTGAAAAGAGGAGGTCTAGTAGAGGAGACTGGGAGGAGAAATATTGCAAAAAAAAAGCAACCAAAAAAACCCATTCCCCTTAAACAAAACAAAAACCAGAACCGAAAAATCCATGTTCTCAAGCTGCCAAAAGAACAAAAAATCCCTAGCTTTCTAACAACCATTAGCCACAATAGAAACACACTAATCAAATCAAAATTAAAAAATAAAATCAAGAAAATATGCCATGGGAAATGAGGGAAGTGGGTTGATTTTGTGAAAGGTTTTTGGGTTAGTTGCTATTAGAAAGGGGCGACGTGGTGGAAGATTCTAGAGAGAGAGAGGTCGATGGAGGGAGAGTGACCGGAAGATAGAGAGAGAGAGCTAGGTGAGTGACGCCAACGACAAGAGAAAAGAAAAGAGAGGGAGGAGTGACGTCGGTGCGGAAAGAAAGAGAGAGAGGAAAAGAGTGTGCCGGCGAGGAAGGGATAAGGGAAGAAGGGTCGGCAGGGAAGAAAAAGAAAGGAGAAGAAAGAAGAAGAAGAAGAAAAGGGAACAGTAGAGAGAAGGGAGAGAACCACGGCAGAGAGAAAAAAAGAAGGTGAAAATGAGGGGAAGGAAGAGAAAAGAAGGTTTTTATAGTTAGGTTTGGGCCTTGTTAAACAATGCTATTTGAGGAAGAGAAGAAGTTGCTGTGCACACACCAAAACGGTGTGTTTTAAGTGAGGAATCCTAGGCCTTGAGAAGCAAATCTAGGAGCAGGCTTGTTTATTTTAGGCTACCTCTTGCTCGAAGAAGGTAAACCCATTCTCCTTTTATGCTTGATCCAATTTTGCTGTATTAGATTTGGTCCAAATATTTAATGAGAAAATATGTTAGTTTTGATATGTAATTAATTAAAATAAAAAGGTAAAAATCATATTTATAAAAATTATCCATCATTAACGTAAAAATATAAAGAGCAAAAAAAAAAAAGAAAAAAGAGAAAAATCATGGATAAAACATAGATAAATATTTAATAATGAAGTGATAGGTCTAGTTTTATAGAATATAAGTTCATAAGCAAAAATGAATGCCTAATTAAAAATAATAATAAACAATGTTAGATCTAAGTTAAGAATACAAATATATAAGATAAAAAAATAATAAAAATTATACGATACCCACCACCCCGGAATTAAGACCGATGATGGGATAATCATACGGAATGCGAGAAGTCGCAATTTCGAATGATTTTCTCTAGGTTAGGGATTTCGATTAGGACTCCACTAGTATGATGGGAGGGTCCAAACTCAGAATTCCAATTGTTCCTAATTTTAGCTAAATAAAAAAATATACAAACTTACCAATTAATCAAAATATATAAATAAAGGAAATTGGAAATTAATGGTAACAATAAATTCCATAATCACAATAATAATTCAAAAAGACATGGATAAAATACATGTACATATAAATAAATAAAAAGATAAAAATATTTGGTCTAAAAATATGATTTTGAAGAATCTCATGTAGTAAAATAAATAAGCATTTACGTAGTAAAATACATAACGAAATAAAACAACAAGCAAATGTAAAATATTTGATCATGATTAATATGCACACAAGGATAAATAATAAATTTTGTTAAAGATAAGAAATGAACATTGAATTACGTACCATGGTTGCATTGTTAAATGTCATGGCATATAGAAATATTCTAAACATGAGCATAGCTCCGATGATGGGACTTTTCGTGGAAGCTTGCGATGGCGAGTTTCTTCCGTAAACTCCTTAGGTGAAAAGATATTCCTGAATCCCACCAGTACGATGGGAAGGTTCGGAAAAATATCTTTAATAAAAAGCTTTTGCTCGTATTAGGATTTACATTCATGAAAACGTTATTTTTACTCGCAAACGACTACCTCGATGATGGGATCTACTCATTAAACTTGCGAAGGTGAGTTTATCGGGCATTCTCTCCAGGTGAGAAGATACTCTCGGATCCCACTAGCATGATGGGCGGATTCGAAAAGTACACTCAATAAAAAGTTTTTGTTTGATATTATCTCAATTTTATGCCATGCATGTCACAATTGCATCACGCGTACATCAAACATAAGAAAAAACCAAACAAAATGTTTTTGATTTGTTAATCGAATAAAAGGTGAATCAAATGAGCCAAATTAAGGAAACATAAAAATAAAACCAATGGGTTAGGATAATATATGATTAAATGGTACCGTTAATTGAACGGGTGTCATAGGGATGCTAATTCTTCCTTGTGCGTAACCGTACTCCCGAACCCAACTCTAAATAGAATACGTAGACCAGTTTATAGTTCTTTCGATTAACTTAAAATCAATTTAGGATTTTATCGAACAAAACAAATGTATAAGGTGGCCAATCACACCTAGATTAAAAAAAAGATTGGTGACGACTCCCAAAGTACATCATGTCTAGCGGACGGGTTCTTGGATCCGACACGTTACGACAATACCTCAGTCAAAAGTATCGATACTTGTAGCACAGAATGTAATTTTATGTCTGAAACAAGGCCAATTAACCTTCTCTAAGTCCAATATCTCAAATAGGCTTAGTGAGTTTATAAACCATGCATTTTCTAGACTATAAACATTCAGAATTTCAAATGAAAAACATTAAATCTATAGCTCACCAGCTAAGTTCCATTTCTACCCTTTATTCAAAATTGAGGTTTTACAAATTAATAATCCATATATTCATCAAAACTATCATCCAAATATTGTTAGTTCATTGGATGAAGGAATATATAGAATTGGGTTAGGTCAAATATCAAACTCACAAAGTTATAATGAAATTATACTTTTTTATTAGTTTTAAACGCCCTTTAGTACTGTCAAGAAGAAAGGAGGTAGAAAAGGATAAAGTGGGAATAGCCAAGGCTAGGTTGATGGTGTCACTAAGGGATGCCCCAGACCTATGGGGATTGGTGGAATCACGAGGAATGGTCAAGGGGAGATGAAAGCCACATTTTCCAAACCCATAGGAAGTGCATATTCCACTTTGGCAGCGAGGGAGGCATTGCTGATTTTTTTCAACATCTGAATGGAGGGAGGATCACTCACTGATTATTGAAAGTGATTTAAGCAAACGTGAAGTGGTTAAAAAGACCTGATACAACACCTTGGAGACTAAGTAAATGGTTGATTCAAATTGGGCAACTAAAATAAAACTTGGTGAATTTTGAGATCATATATGTTTTCAGAGAAGCCAACCAAAAGGTTGACAATCTTTTGAAAGGAGTTCACCTTCGGAACAAGATACTATGAAAGTACTTGTTGTAGAAGCAGATCACCCATCAAAAGATAACCCACTGCACCATCATGAAGAAAAGCGTAAAGCAGCATTACAACTACAATTCACGTGTTAAAAATCTGCACAAAATCACCTCTACAGATTTGTACAAATAGCATCCCTGATTATAGTTCACATGCGCTGAAAAATTAGCATAAAATTACCTTTGTACTATTAGAGAAACTTTCCATATAAGATAGACCATGCACTTTGTAAAAGCACAGAGCTTGTTTGCATCAAAACATAAGAGAGAAAATAACAAATCTTACATTTGCACTTCTTACCTACTCTTCTATTGAGTTTTTCTACACAGTATTAGAGCTTATAAGGACAAATTGGTGGTTCTAATTTTCTGTCTCCTTTGTCAGATTTAGTTGTAGAAGTAACCTTTTTCTCATTTTTTTTCTACCATCACCTTCCTTAACCCTTTTCCTTTGTCTTATAAAATTTCACTCCTCTTTATTCTGATCTCTCTCTTGTCCTTCTTAATTTCAAAGTCCAATCCTTAAAATATGACCTATAATTTCTTCTACGATGTCATTTGGCACTATTGTTCCTCTAAAATTTAATTCATCCATATCTTTTGTTCACCCTTATTAGCACCGCCCATTCCTATTCTTCTTCAAGTCTATCCCTTCTTTCCTTTAACTTTCTTAGGTGCTCTTCTTTTTGCTATTAAACTTTTTCAAGTTTGTCTTATAAAATTTCATCAAGTTTCTTTCTTCTTCTATTAAAATTCATCAAGTCTTGTCCCTATTTAATTTCTTCAAATATTTTTCTTCCTTCTATCAAACTTCTCCAAGTCATTTGCTTCCTTCTATTTTTTTTTTAAAATCTTTTTATTTTCGTCCATCTACCTCACATAAAACTATCCTTCAAAGTTTCATCTCTCTTCTTCTTCTTCTTTTTCTTTTTTCTCTTATTAATTAAATGACATCATCAAATACCCATATCTTTCAACTCTCAATGTTGATAATTTTGTCTCAATCCATCTCAATCAGATTAATTTTCTCGTTTGGAAAACCCAATCATGGGACTAACTTAAAGTTAATATATGTTATTCATTGATGGCAAAGGGACGATGGCATGCAGTAGATAGATGTGCCGGAGTTATCAACAAAGGTATCATCATCTTCTTCTGTTGTTGGTCCTTTAGATTTTTAACTTAATTGCTATTGATTGGGTATTCTATCTCCCTTATCAAATAGCAATCAAGTTGGAAATCTCAATTTTAATAGAGAATCTCAAGGGCTAGCAATAGATGAAGAAGAAGAAGATGATGATGATGATACCTCTGTTGAAACCTTGAATAAGATGATGATGGTTGGATGGTTTCCAACCATCCTGCAACCATAGCTCAACATTAGTATTAGGATGTTCGTGAGGTGTATGGCACAAGCGCTGTTGAAGCACACTTAGGGGAGCTTATCGCAGAAGCTCTTAAAACTAAATACAAAGCAGTTATGACACTTTTGGATTCGCAGAATGAAATAAATTAATAAAGAATAGGATCATATTCTGTGAAAATAAAATAATGCAGGAATGGTTGTTGGTTTGATTCATAGAATGAAATTATCATTATGACATTATTTCAATGTCTGGTTAACAAAAATAGTTTTGGAACATCAAAAGAACAGGTGATAAAAAGATAAATTACGTTTTAATATAATCTATGTTTTTCAATTTAAAGTTTTTATCTTTTATAATTTATTAAAAATATTAATAAATTTTTAAATAAAACTTTAATATAATTGTCCAGTTAATTTATTTTATTTACTTCTCTAATTTTATTTTTTAAATAAAGCATTAGATCAACGCTACTTATGATCGAATCTGACTGTAAAGCACCAGATGGATGCTTCTGATAGCACAATCTAGTTGTGGAGCACTTGGGTGGCTAGATCTGATACTTCCTTGATCGGATTTGGCTATGAAGCAGCATATTCGAACAACTTGTTTATCCTATTCCACTACAACCGGAATAGTCATTACCGAAGGGGGATCTGGACTTTTCTGACCTCTCAAGGAATGATCATTTAGTGAACAAAACAACATTATAAAAAGAGATTAGGAATAGGGGGAATGGTCATTCTATCCCCCGATTAACATGCCATTAGTAAATTTGTATTAAGCTTCTCGAATTTATAAATGTTAAACACACCGACAAGTTAAGAAAGCAAAGTGCAGTAAATAAATAAAACAAAGCGAAGTGAATAAGTTGGTAATGGAATGTTTTATTCTCCAAAGCATCCCAAATCAATGAAACAGCAAACTGAAACTCAAGCACAGAGAAGATTAATCCACCAAAGCTCTCGTCATTGATTGTTCTGTTTTGCCACCAATTCACTGCAATGAGAAAAGAGAGA